AGCCTCTGGTTCCGCGAAGCTGGGTGCAGATGAAGCTCTTTTGTGCGTCCATTAACTTGGCCATCCCGAAATCGGAGACTTTGGGTGTGAAATTTTGGTCCAGAAGGACGTTCTCTGGCTTTATGTCGCAGTGGATTATCTTTGATTCGCATTCTTCGTGGAGGTACGCCACTGCCCTTGCTATACCTGTTCGATGAAATGGCCCAAACAATTTTGTTCATATCAAAATATTGATTCCCCCAGCTTTAATTACAGAAACTAGGACTGCAATTTTATTTTTACCACCCTCTATTCCACTTCCTAAGCTTACTAAGTTCAAGTTAGGAGTAGAACACAAAATTGAAAGTGAGGAATTTGGTTAAGAGTTTACCCAATGCGATGTTGAATCGGGTGTCCCAATCCAGAAACGGAGCGTCTTCTTCACCATTGAAAATCCATTTATCCAACGATCCGTTGCTCATATACTCGTACACCAGAAGCCGATGGAGACTTTCAGAGCAGAATCCTGTGAGCTTCACCAGATTCACATGGTGGATCCCGCCGATCAAACTGACCTCCGCTCTGAATTCCCTCGCCCCTTGCCCCATTCGCTCCAGTTTCTTCACCGCCACTCTCGACCCATCTCCAACCTCCCCCAAATAAACCGACCCGAATCCCCCGTGCCCGATTTTCCTCGAAAAATTCTTCGTCGCTCGCCGGAGCTGCCGGAAACTGAACCGCATCGGCCCACCGGAGATCTGCTCGAGGAATTTGTCTTCCTCTGTTGCTTCTTCGATGGAGCTTAGCAGTTCCTTCATTTTCCGGCGGTAGAACCGAAAACAGAACAGGCCCATAAATGCCAGAGCCATTGCGGCGAGAAGAATGCTCATCAGCACGATGTGTTTTCTTCTTCTGTACTGGCTTGGGCTCATCTCGGCGTCGCCGCCATTAATGGGGAGCTTCGTTTTCATATACGAAATGTACCCGCCGGAGCTTTCCTCCGACCGCTGTAAACTACCGATTTGGTCGAAGAGGAAGCAATTTCCCGAAATGGGTTCGAAGAATAAAACGTGGCAAGAGCAATTACCGGCGCAGGCCGCTTTGCAAGAGTTCAAGTCGGAGTTGAATGAAGGAGTTGAGAAGCGAAGAGCGAAGTAATCAAGATCTTTCCCCAAATACAGAAGCTCGGTGGAGCTGCCATTACAGGGGATCGAATGGATTTTGCAGTTGATTTTCTCGTTGAGAATCGAAGGGCATTGGCAGCGGTTGTCGAAGTAGCAGATGAAAAGAGGATCACAAGGCTCCGGAACGCCGCAATTTCCCGCCGGAATTCGAATCGGCTCCGGCGGAGCTGATTTTCCCATCTCCAAATTGTGAAAGGAAATCGATCCGTCGGTGTTTAAAACAGAGACCCATCTGTCTTTCCAATTCGATTGCCAGAAAAATCTGAATTCCCATAGCAATTCCCCTTTCTGGCCGTAGAAATTCCAAGAATTCGACTCCAAAATAGCAAACAGAACATACCCACCTCCACCGGAACCGGCGGCGGACTTTGGAATTTTCCGGCTATCATTCGACAGAGCCCAATAGATTTGGGGATTCCGGTAACCGGCGGAGAGAACCAAATCGCCATGTTTAAATTCCAAAAAATTCGAGAGATCATTGTCGTTTGGATAACTTCTGAGCCTCATTCCTTCCCAAAAAACCTGGCCGGGCAAAAGGGTATCGGTCGGAAAATGGAAGCTCTGCCAAATAAAACTTCCATTGTTACTCTGCAAAACCAAGTTCCCGGAATCCAACAGCTGCATCGAAACGACGCCGTCTCCGGCCGTCCCCGTCGACCAAACCGGAGCCCGATTCCGGCCGGAACCATCCAAATAAGCAACCCCTGTTTCATCAAATACAAAGAGTGCAGAATCGTTCACCGGGAAATCTCTGTTGGCCGTCCAGATTACCTTTGAACTGAAAATGTGAGTGATTCCGAGTGAGAAAACGTTGTCATCGGCGCCGCTGTAGAAGCCGAGAGCGAAAACAGAGTTGTTGGACAGAAGAAAATTCCCGTTTGTTTGGTTGAATTCTGATGCAGAAGCTTTGAAGCCTGGGAGGATCTTGTCGATATTTTGGGATTCGACGATGAGGGATTGAGAAATCAGGAAGAAGGAGAAGAAGAAACTTGAGATTTTGTGGAAACCCATCAAGAATTTGTTTGAAGTTTCATCATCCAATTGGGGAAAGTTAATGATGAAGAGAAGAAAATAAGAAATAAGTTCTGATTTTAAACTTCAAATTCAGATGATTATTAGTAGTTTTCTTTTATAATTTTTCAGTTCAATTCAGATGTTTATTGCAGAAATGGTTGGTGCTGCTTCTGTGTTGCTAGGTAGTGAGATTGCACGTCGTCTAATTCTTTAAAACATGCAAAAAAAAAAAAAAAAAGTAAAACAATATAATAAATGATATAGAGCACGGAAAATATAAGAACATATAATATTTGCAAATTTAGTAAGATATTATGGTAATCTTGTTGATGCCTGTTTGACTTTTAGAATTAATTCAATTATAGTACTTTAAATACTGTATCCACTCAGTATTTTAAAATTTAAAATTGGATTTAGTGTGAAATGTCAACTAAATTGACGGATTTCAAAGGTTAACTAAGCAAGAAATTGCTTGATAGCGAGTAATTATGATATGTTTCATTAATTGTTTATTAGTTAACAATTAATGTTGCTAAATGCTAATGACATGCCACGATGTGCTAAGTCCTACCATTTTTTAAAATTTGAAGATACAAAATAATAATTAATGGTGGGTGTGCGTGGACTCCACAATCTTTTTTAAATTATAACTAAACAAACATCCTTTAGAAAAAGGAAAAAATAGAAAAAACATCTTGAAAAGGTTAAAAGATTTTGGTGTCGCATTCGAATTCTGATATTTTAATTAGTTGAACTATGTTCAAGTTGAGAAAAAATAGAAAGAATTTTAAAAAAATAAAATTATAAAGTTGAAGATTATAAAATTTAATATTAAATTTTGATAGCTCTATTTATTTAGTACTTAAATTAAGAAAATATATGTATTAACTACACATATATTAACTACGTCTGTTGACCTTAGATTGTGATTCTATAGAGATATTTTGGATAAACATTGGTTAATTTGTTATTAATGAAATAAACTGATATTTGCATTGTAGCTTTATTTTTCTAACCAACTTATCAAATCAATTTTATACTCTCTACTCTACTTTGTTCATGAATGGTATATTTTAATTGCCAACATGGATGATTGACTCATTCCACATTAGAAATAATTGCAGGAAATCCTTTGATAACATGAATTCCTATTTATCAATGATATCCCACGATCAAGACAATTGGCTAGCATAGTTAAGTAGTTAAGGTACCTTACTCCTTTCTTTGAAGTCAATTTGTCTGTTTTTTTCTAAGTATAATTAATAAAGATGCTTGTTTGTGAGAAATTTATGGTGAAGAGATTCTCAAATTAATGAACTTGCATTTGTATTTATGTATACAATATTTGATGTATGATCTTCTTATGCTTTCTCTCAAATGCAAACTTTGATTTGAAAGCTGCTAAGTTTGTTCTCGAATCTATGAAGTTGGAGCCTTCAGCTTCAAGCTTATTGAAGAATCTTTGAAGTGTTCGACTTTGAGCTTCTTGAAGATCTTCCGTTCATTGATGAGATTTTTTGACTTGCAGCTKGAAGAAATCTTTAGTTTGCAACTCGATGAAGCCTTCGACATATAGCTTACTGATCATTAAATGTTGGTAGATAATTATAAATCCTATGATTCTGAATATGAATCTCTCTCAATGCCTCCATTGAGAGTGACCTCCACATTTATAGAGTTTCTTATATGTCATTTCTTCTCATGGGCCTAATGAGTTTGAACCAATCTCTACATGGGTTGATCTAGTTAGC